CGAAGAGCTCAAGGCCTCCGTTAATCTGGAAGGCGAAGATCCTCAAGATGTGTTGCAGTTTATCAATGTTGTACCTGTTATTGAGCTACCGGAGGAACAGCCCGCATTGGACGAGCCGATGGATGACGTTGCGACAGCCGACGTAAAAGTCGAGCCGAAGGTTGAGGAAACCGACGCGGACGTTGAGATGCCCGATAGCTATACAGGCGCAACCGACGAAGTACCCGGGCCTGATACTGGTATCGCAGGCGTAAATGCCTTGCCGACAGCACCAGAACCTGATCCACAGATGGCGAAGATCGAGGCCGAGGTTCTTGATGTTTTGGCTGATGATGAAACGACTGTTGAAGAAGGTGCAACCGGAGATGTTCCTATGATCCCTACGGACGCGGACCAACCCGCAGAGGGTCAAGCGTCTTCATCTGACCCGAGACCACCATTGCCGCGATTGCGAGGCAAAGGGCAGGGACAAGGCACCCCTTCGGTCGCTCCCGTAACGGGGAGCTTTCTTGCACCTGAGAACAACGACAACCCCGACTTGAAATTTTCTGGAAAAGGGAAGGGCGTTCTCGTTCGCGAGACGAAGCCTAACCCCGAGTACAAAAATATGCAGGTCGAGGTTGAAGAGGTTCTCGAAAGGTATCCTTACCCGGATCACCTACTCAAGGCCATCGGGAATGGCAACATCCAACTCCTCGAGGATGAGCTGGGCCGCGACGCCAAGCAGTACGTGCTGTACCACGTTACTGGCCATAGGTACTATTATGTATATGAGGATTATCATCATGGGCCTTGGGAGTGGTGCTGCTCCTGGCCACCTCATGTTCGTCGCGGTATTTCTGGTCTTCTTCGTGGACACGTCCCAGACGTCAGTATTTATGATCCGGCGTGTTATTTGCCAATTTACAAACTACTAGATTTGGCGAAGGCCAAATTCCCTGATTACGCTGGTTCTATGAATGTTTTTGAGTTGATTTCGATGGCTATTTATGACCACAAAGATCGTTTCGAATTTCAATGCGTGTACGACTCTCGTGTGAACGAGCAGCTCGAACTTTTCGCCGCCCCCGTCAAGGTCCGATGTGGACAAGGCCACACTGACGACGTTCTCGAGACGCGATCAAATGAAGTGCTAGCAGTACTAATCTACTGCCGTCCTGACCATGTACACAGGTACAATGCTCGTTTGACAGCGCACGGGAATTGCGATATACCACCTCGGCTTTACCACCGAACGCATGAAGGTGCTGCGCGATCCATTATTGCGAGCGGGCTCATTCCCGGCGGTGGAGCCGGTGGACCGAAAAGCAAAGGCAATTCCTTCTTTTCAACACAACCTCTGGGAAACCAGAAGGCGATATCTGGTGTTCGTGCTGACCGACCAGTGGAGATTTGTTTTTCAACACCGGATGTGATTGAAGCAGGAGTTGATCTTTTCCTCACAAATTCTGGCGCGGTGATTACCAGCCATCACGTTCCGAATACGTGTATTCTATTTGCAACTCGAGCCCGCGCAAATGCGGAGCCAGAAGTTTTCTATTCGAGGCCGCAGGCATTGGATCCTTCGAACATTGAGATCGGTGTTCCGCAAGATGATGTGACATTGGTCCCGGGAAAAGTGTCGGAAGTACGCACCATTTTGGAAGGTACAAGCGACGCCACTCCCGAAGAACGCACAGCTAGCAGCAGTGCCGCAAAGAAGGAAGAGATGGAGGCAAATCGCAATACAGCTGTACCACAGATCGAGAGTGGATATTTTCTACATCTTCGAACTTTCAGCTGCGATAAATGTACGACACTTTCCTTAGCAGGAATGGCATCTTGTCATCGATGCGGAGTAGTATTTCAGAGCAATACAACAGATGGACCGATCTCAAAGTTTATGCGACTTCAGATGAGGCGTGCAAAGGTGCTACAAGAGCAGGGGGGCGTGCCCAAGAACATGACCGCAACAAGCATGCTTGACAGCATTGCCGCGCAGGACCTACAGTCTGGACGACCTCCAGCTCGTGGTAGCCCGTCAGTTGACAGTCAGATTATTCTTGCAGCTCGCGGCCGCCTTCGCAAAGCATTGAAATCAGGGTATGAGAATGTATTCGATCGATTCAACCGCGACGACGTCTTCGCTACCTCCTTAACCGGAGAAGGATGCACAGCGTTTGATGCAGCGCAAGAAGACTTGTTTGCGTCACTGCAATTACCGGCACCCACGAGATCAGCGAAGCAGAGATCAAAAGGGAAGTCGGTTGTCAGTGATTTGGATCGACTGGACAGGGTTGACCTCGCCAAGCTCGCGTATATTCGATGCGGCGTTGACAACCTACATACCTGTTTCAAGCAAGGCGTCGACGAGAACTTTCTGATCAGTTATCGCCGAGAGTTTATGTCACTCCGACAATACGCCGCCGTAATTGGCGATAGCCGAGATGAGATCAAGATCCAGGGCTTTATCCCCACGACGGACGTCTATGGCGATATTCATTCAATTCGTATTCCTCGTGGAGACACGACAGGCATTTACAAGATTTTGAGTGAGTTTGCAGAGCAGAATGAAAATTATGCAAACATTCAATATCAGAGAAACGCGCAACAGTCTGCAAGTGTGCAGGGACGCGATCGTGGACAGCCAGTTTCACAGATGGGCTTCATGAACATCGAACAGCGCATGGCCACGCCTTATCCCAAGTTTGCCGATTGTGGCCAGGACATGTCGTCTGACGAGATTCGACGGCTTGAAGAGATCTTGCTTGAGTTTGGGCAGCGTGGAGCACCATCTCCTCAAGGACCTGTAACAAGGCCCCCGTTGACGCGGAAGCGATCGCAGATGTACATGGAGACTATTGGAGATGCAGACAAACGACCGAGGCTGCAGTGGAGGAGGAAAGAAGACCGAGATCAATCTGGTCGTATTGCAACTTGGGTTGACAACCGGACTCCACCGCCAGGCGTGCCTCAGCCGCCAGCTCCCGTAACAGGGACGCATACCTCGTCGGTATTCCGTATGAATGCACCTCCTGCTCAAGGACAAGTTTCAGGAAAGGGTGACTCCTCTAAACAGGATGTCGGTGAACGGAGAGATGTTTCTGGAAAGGGCAAAGGCCAAGGCAGTTCTTCGGCAGCAGGCTCAGCCGCTCCCGCAAAAGGGACGCCGCGTGGTTCTGTCGCCCGAGCAATTTCCCAGAGCCGTGTCCTTCCACCTAAACGTGGCAACATCCCCAAGGACCTCTTGGGTCCCCCAACTTCACCGCCACCGTTACCTGCACCCAACAACCCACCTGCAACTGGCCTTTCACCAATCTCCAAGCCACGTCCAGCCAAACCTTCACCTCCGAAGGTCCCACCACCAAAGGTGCCTCCTCCAAAGGTTCCTCCACCGAAAGTGCCACCCAATACAGCCAGTGGCATTCCGGTACATACAAGGCCGACAGATTTCAATCTCACGCCGAAGCCGCCGCCGCTTACAGACCTTTACAGTCGGTTGCAACCTTCCGTAAAAGGAAAGGGCAAGGATAAGCAGCAGGTGAGTGTTCGAGGAGGACCTTATGCTCCACAGCAATGGAATGTACAAAACGTGCCACCGCCGCCATTGCCACCCGGAACTTCATCCGCTTCGGCATCATCGTCACATAATGCACCCTTAACTGGGCCGCCGACTTCCAGCATTCGTGGAACTATTGATCGACCATTGGAACCCTTTGATTTTCCTGGAGTACAATGGCAACGCGATGACCCATGGGGCGAGAACTATTGGCCCAATCACATGGAATTGTGGGAGTGGTTGAGGCAGGGATGGCATGACGAGACGGAGCGTTTTGGAATACAATTTCTTTAAGCAGATGTTGAATAGCTACCATAAATGGTATGCCTTGCAGTTTATGAGTGTTGAGATAAAGATCACCTTCTGACGCGCTGTGAGATGATGTTTCACTTCATTGTCTCACTTCCCAATGCATCCATAACAGGATTGCCATAGTCGGAGAGTGAACTTTTAATCAATGCTTAACACTAACCTGGGCCTAGCATGTTTAACCACATGCCGAGTGAGGCGAAAACTGTACATTAGGGTAGCTACGTTCTCCTTGTATAGTGCATGCACGAGCTTGATGAGGGATTTCTAATATGATTCCTTCGTCGCTAGAATTTGATCCTCCCCGAGATTTTCCCTACGGGTAGCTCCTTGTAAAGGGGGGTGTTGAAATTCACCTCATCCCCATGGACCCCGTAGCGTTGACTCTCAAGGTAGAGCAAAAGGTAGCGCTTACCGGGCTAGCAGGGTTAGCTAGGTAGTTAGTACTATTAGAGCTGATCCTGTAAAATACAATATATAACCAAAGGAAGTCCCAAGAAATCCCGCAACAAATATCTATATATATAAACCCTTTATATAGATTTAAAATTATATAGATAATACATGATAATACTATTAAGCTAAAAAGGCATCCTACATGCTAGTTCTATGGCTTAATCTGGGCCAGCCAGGGGTCGTGTTTGGAGCGAAGATTGTGTGTCGACACGTGGAGCGACCGCAGCACCTACGGGGGGAGAGAAACACATTCAACACTCGATCGTCATGGAACAGGTAGAATTTGGTCTTACTTAGTCTTACCTAAACCTTGTCAGGTTTTTCACAAGCCGTAAGCCTTCTCAATGCAGGTGCTTTAGGGGCCTTTGGGAGCCTCAATGTTGTCAAGATTTGTATGCCTCACAGGTGGCTTCAACCTAGAGGATTCTGGCGGACAAGTTTCATCAATGTTTCACACAGGTCATTAATATACGAAAATGAGACCGGTCGAGTCGAGTGTTCCAACCTATTCCCGCTTGGTTAAAAAGAATCCTACTCTACAATGGGTTTTGTGACTTTTATCAGACCCCTGTCTCCATAGGCTTGGCGAAGGTGTGCGAAAGGACACCTCATCACACCTCAGATCCGTGACCAGACACAGTTTGGTCGCTGGACAGATCTAGCCGCTAGACAACACGCCTACATGCCGTCTCGGCAGGTGTTGGACTTCACCCAAAAGTCACTGGAACGCGTGGCGCGCGAAGAAGTCCCCACGCTGAACCACGTGCAGCCTTGTGCACGCTGTGGTCTTTGTGTCTCCGTGGGCCAGTGTTGCGCCTTCTGTGCACAAGAGGCGCCAAATGGAGTGGAGGAAAAAGACTTGCTGCTTCTTGGTGAAGCCCCTGTGGAAGCGGAGCCTAAGCCTGCTGAGATGGAGGCTGGACAAAGGAAACATCAAAGCACAGTAGGATACCCGAAGTGATGCCGTGCTTGTTGAGACTGAGCGCCGGTCTTTGAACATTCCCAACAGCAGAATGCAGTTGGGTTTCAACCTCTGGGGCTGGGAGTGGTGCACAGTTTGTCCACGGTGCTCCAAAACCGGAATTCCATCCTGGAACCCTGGGTGCTGTTGTGTTGGAACCCTTGCTTGGGTTCTGTCACGTCCCACCTTGGAACCTTCGAAACCCTGTTGTGAGAATGCTGCCCTGAGACCTTTGAACCTTAAAACCCTATATATAGGTGCGGTTAGGTGCTGTGATCTGAATGCAAGCTTGGAGTTTGGGGGGCTGTGCAGTGTCTTGTTTTGCCCCGCTGAGACACTGGGAGAGGATATGAGATGCTATCAGAATTGAGACCCTTGAGCCTTGGAGCGCTGGGTGCTACCATTGGAAACCCCTTTGTTCAGAATGCGGCTTTAACCTTGGAACTTTGGGTGCCCTCATGTGCTGTCGTCTGAATGCCACCTTGGAACCCTGAGTGCTGTCAGGTGCCGTGTCACCTTTGAACCCTGTGCTGCCGGGTGTTGCGGTGAATGCAACCTTGCTGTGGCAAATTCAGGGCAGTACGGCATTTGTTTCATTTCTTCCTTTGCTTTAAAAGCGACCTTGAGATGAAGGCATGTGTTTCCTTTTGTTATAGCACTTCGCTGACGGAATTGAAATCACCCCTGGGCCAATTGTTGGCATAGAATGGCTTTGCAGGCACCAGGGCCGGGAGAAGTTCATGGTCTTGACAATCCTCCACAGGCCCGAGAAGACGACGGACACTCGAAGCTGTATTTATATAGACCGTCAAAACCGCTACTATGACTCTTAGCTCAGAGGAGAAAGGAGATGGACTTTTTGGTTTGTCAAGATTGTTCAAGCTCCTGTAGGTCCAATAGGAAGGGCGGACGGATCAGGAATGCTCCTGAGCATAGCTAGGCCCCAGGCGGCGCCCCACTCATCATTCAGACAATGCCAAAGATTGGCAGAGAACACAATGTGCCAGGCTGCTGTTTGGTTGGGTGAATCCCTTGGTTCTGTGGTCCTAGTGGCCCCTTCCCCCGCAAACCGGTATGTCTCTATATAGTTTTTTTTTTTTTTTTGTGTGTGTGTGTGTCTTTTTTTGCTTCTGCTTTTGTGTTTGCTTTTGCTTCTGCTTTTGCTTTTTGCTTTGCTTTTGCTTCTGCTTTTTGCTTTTTGCTTCTGCTTTTGCTTCTGCTTTTGCTTTTGCTTTTGATTCTGCTTTTTGTTTATGCTTTTGCTTCTGCTTTTGCTTCTGTTGTTGCTTTTGCTCTTGCTTCTGCTTTTGCCTTTGCTTCTGCTTCGGCTTTTGCTTCTGCTTTTGCACTTGCTTTTGCTTCTGCTTTTGCTTTCGCTTTTGCTTCTGCGGTTGCTCTTGCTTCTGCTTTTGCTTTCGCTCTTGCAAACAGGCAGCTTGAAGCGCTGCAAGTGTTGCCGCGAGTGGCCAGCTTTGTCTACTGCGCTGCAAGTGGCCAGCTTCCAAAGCTGGGCTGCTTCAGTGGCCAGGCTTCAACGAGCGTGTGTTGCTGCAAGCAGCCAGCTTCCAATGCTACGCTGGCTGCAGTAAAGACCCTGTGCTGCTGCAAGTGGCCAGCTTCCAAAGTTGCCCGTAAAGTTTAGAGGAGGAAGGTGCCATTCCAACGGCGCAGAGCTTTTGTGAGCCACCCGAGGGCAAAAGGTGGAGGAGAAAGGTGCCAACCGTGCATCAGGCACCCGACAATAAACTTAGAGGAGGAAGGTGCCATTCCAACGGTGCATGCCTTTTGCGAGCCACGCGAGGGTAACATTTAGAGAAGGAAGGTGCCACTCCAACAGTGCTTACCTTTTGCAAGCCACCCGAGGGTAACATTTAGAGGAGGAAGGTGCCATTCCAATGGCATACCCTTTGTGAACCACCCAAGCGCACAAATTAGAGGCGGAAGGTGCCACTCCAACAGTGCTTACCTTTTGCGAGCCACACGAGGGTAACATTTAGAGGGGGAAGGTGCCATTCAACGGCGCATGCCTTTTGTTAACAGCCCGAGGGCAACATTTTGAGGAGGAAGGTGCCATTCCAACGGTGCATACCTTTTGTGAACCATTCGGGGTCACATTTGGAGGAGGAAGGTGCTACTTTAACGGTGCATACCTTTTTGTGAGCCACCCAGGTATACTACAATTTAGAGGAGGAAGGTGCCAGTCTAACGGTGCATACCTTTTATGAACCACCCGAGGTTAAAATTTAGAGGAGGAAGGTGTCATTCCAATGGCGAAGACCGTTTGTGAGCCGCCCGAGGGCAAAACTTAGAGGAGGAAAATGCCATTCCAACTGCGCATACCTGCTGTGAGCCACCCGAGGTTGGAAATTAGAAGGGGAAGGTGCCAGTCAAATGGTGCATACCTTTTGTCAGCCGCCCAAAGGTAAAGTTTAGGAGGGAGGTGTCATTCCAATGCATGTTGTGCGCAAGTGCCCTGTTATAATTCCTCCCTCCTCTGTCCTCACTCCTACTTCTCCTTCGTTAAGTGGGCTGATGCCTTTTCTGCCCCCTCCCTTTGTCACTGTCTCGCTCTCTCCCGCCCGCTGGCTTTGCTGCTTCGTCCCCTGACCTTTCTGCTGCCCCTGATGCTTGTAAAGCACTCCCAGGACAAAAACTCAACCCTTCCCCCACGGGCCTCCCCTGGCCCGGGTCCCTTGTGTCCTGGTCCTTTAGTCCCTTCGTTGCTACCCGCTGTTGGGTTGTAAAGCTGGGTTAATTGCCTCCCCACCCCCTCAATGTTGTCTAGACAGTTCTGTCAAGTGTTCTTGGTTCATCTCCCAGAGGCGAATGTCACCCATCGGTGGTGATCTGCCTTTGAAGTTGGTTGGTCACCCGTAGCTGTACCCTTGAGGCCTCCAGTGCCCCCCCACAACCTGGAGTGGCCTCCGCTGCTTTGGTGGCGCTTCTGCAGCACCCAGATCCAGTGGTCCGTGCGGCGGCAGAGGCTGCCGCTGCGGCCGCCGCGGACGATGCTTCTTCAGACGACGCTTCTTCGGACGACGCAGATTCGGAGCTGTCGACGTGGGAGATGGTGCGTGGTGAGGCTGAGGGACCTGAGCTCATGGGGTCCTTGGTGACACCTGGGCGCCCTAGGCGGTTCGTGTAGAGGGTAGGGGAGGCTTTAGATGAGAGGATGAGAGTTCATGATTGGAAGCTGGACGCCCTCAACTGGTTGACTCTTGTTCCGTATCCTCAACTTCGTGGGGTCGATGTCAGCTGTGGTTTGATGTTTTGACGAAGGATGAGTCGGAAAAGCCTCAGTGCAGTAGGTGTTGCTTTTCCCGCCGTGACCCGTTCGCGATTGCCAACAGAGCTCGTGGTCCTTTGCGCTGGGTCTGGCAGAAAGGAATGTGTGCAGTCCTATTGGCCCTCAGATTGCAGGGCACACAGGCCCCACTGAGGTCCCCAGAGAGGGTGACATGATTTTCGACTCTTTGAAGTGGATTCACCTTTTGATCCATTCACTGATCATGGTAAGATAGGGGAGTGTAGTCTCTGTCTCGCATGTCTCGTGGTAAAGCTTCAAATAACCTCAGGAATTGTCCGATTGCGCGACGTACGTGGCGAGACGGACATAAGAAGACATGCGTGGCCCCGCGGCAGACCATGTTAAAGAGGATTCTTGGCGAACGCGACCACCAGCTTCTGTGTGTTACTGTGCATTAGCGGCTCTATTATGGATGTTTTTCATCTCAGCCTACTTCGGGCTCGAGGGGCGGCCCTTGCAAAGATCAGGGCCATGCAAGATGAGGCAGGTGGATGGATCAAGGGGAATCATTGGTGACACAGGGCCGTTTTTTGTGGGGCTGAAGTGGACGAGAGGACCGGATTAGACCACCCCCAGTAGTAGCTGTCCTTCGATACGCCAAGAGGAACCTTGATATGCCAAATGTCCCACGCACATACAGTCCAAAACATGTTCCCACATAAGGTCCCACATACTGAGATGAACCAATGGCATGAGATGCACTCGAGTTGGTATGGTGAATCTGACCCTTCACCACAGGAAGTGCGACCCAAAAGGTGAAGGAAGGCAATCAAGAAGGACAATAGCACCATTTCATCATAGACCACCTACAACAACCACATACACATCTCTGCCAATCGTATGCTGTATACCACCATTTTCAGGGTGTCTGAAGATACCTTCCTCCTGATGCGGTGCGGCTCACCTTTTGGGCCGCCCAGGGTCGATTGTGCTGTCGTGGCCCCGTGTCGGGGCGGAGCGGGGCCGTCCAATGGGCATGAAAAAGCCTGGACCACTTCTGGGGCGTTTTTACAGGCCCTTCTTTTTGGTTTTTGTCGGGTCTTTTTGAATTTTAAATCACACACATCTTCACATCTTTGTTCATGTGTGGTCTCGTTCTTCATGCGCTTCAGTGGTCTTGGTGGCAACGTGGACGTTCGCATGTGTGGAGCAAGCTAATCGCCACTCTGAATTTTACAAGGGCAGGCACGGTGTTGTCCGTGCCTGGGTGTAGGAGACTCTTCAAGATTCTTTGCTCCAAACGGTGGGCTGGGGGGCTTTGCAATGCATAACTTAGGGATTTGAGCCAAGAGGTTTGAAAGGGACAGCCACTTTCTTGATCGATGTGCTCCCAAGCGCTGTGTTCACTTTTTCCCTTCAGACTCCAGACTTCAAGACTGGTTTGGCCCCGGAGGTTCATGCAAATCCACCACTTGACATGGCTGAGGGCAAACTCGTGCTATTGTGGATCTCTTGCCTAGAGTCCCCCGTTTTGCACTGTGGATGAACAGGCGGAAGTGCCACATTCTCGGAGCTCTTTCCGGCCTCGCATCTCCCCACAATCAAGCTGGAGCGGGCAGGCGTTTTGGCTCAGCCTGTTGGCACATGTCATCACCACTTCATGGCTAGGTTTGCCAGGAAGGAGCTGCTGGATAGCCCATAGCATGTGATATGGGCACCCTCTATCACAAGTGGTCCGGCACAACACAGTGCCACTGGCTGAGAGACTTGTGAGGATTTGCTAGGATACCGGCTCGAAAGCCCATATGTGCACAAATACAAGTATATATATATAAGATATACTGTATTTATATATATCTTCTATGCAAAGTGTATATATATAGATTTATATTATATATTATTTTCGTATCTATATATATATATACACATTGCATATTGATACTGAACATCCGGCAAACTGTGAGCCTTTTGCAGTTTGTCCCACCACTTGGGTAAAAACCACCTCTTCGACTCTTACCCGCCAAGCAGCTAGAGGGAAGCCAACCCAACCAGCCGGCCAATCAATCCCACTGGTCTAATCCGACCAACCCAACCAACCCGACCAACCCAACCAACGAAACCAAGTCACCCAACCAAACCGACACTCCATTACCTTTGGGTTCATCTTCATCCGCCATGGAGGGTGAGACCTCCGAGACGGTGCCGCATCGGCGGAAGTCTCACTCGGAGGAACGGGAGACGGTGCTCGGTCCGCACGAGTGGCTCGGCGGAGCAGAGCAGAGTGGAGCAGAGCGGTGCGCGTGGGGCATTTTCTGCAAATGCCGCGGGATGCCCCATGCACTGCAGATGTGGGGTGTTAGCAGATGGGGCATCCCTTTTTTGATACTGTACTGGACGTCAAGTATGACATTTTTGCGCCATCCGCGATTGCCTGATGCCAAAAGCCGTCAGCTCGGGGCGACACCTGACTCACAGCTCACCTGACTCATCCTTTGGATCACCAATACTCTCCCTGGAACTAACATGGAAGTGGAAAACCATCTGTTTGTAGTGGAAACATGGTCTTCCATGCCCTCCACTTCCATGTGAGTTCGTGTCCTTCATTTGTCCTTCACAGATGGCCCTTTAACGCCCCAAGGTTCGAGGACGAAGTCCACACCTCTTACTTCGATCCGCCTCCACAGACGGAGGACGAGCGGAACCGATTCGGCGCGCCGGCGGATCAGGCGGCGGGACGACGGCGGAGGTTTGGCGCGCGTGGAGCCTGTTTTTTTGAGGCCTCATGCTGCCCCGAAAGGGCAAAAAGGTGAACAAGGGGGGATGTGCCATGATGTTTTTGCATGGTTTTCAGCTAGTTTTTGATGTTTCATTGAGGAATCTTCCTCCAGATTCCCAAGAGTGGTTTGGAAGAATCGGTTATTCCGAACAGATAAGATGAAGAACTGGACGGTTTGAACCAAGTTTTCAACAGGTGTTTCTGGGTTGTCACTGATTTTTTTTAAAAGTAGCATCCTTATTAAGTAGCATCAATCTTGATACAATTTCCCTTGGACGGATGTGGAGGATATGAAGTACTTTTCCTGAAGAGTCTTGGCAGATGGATCTGATTTCCGGAGCCGGGTCCCGCCACTAAGAGGAGAATCCCTCGAAGGACCTCCGGACCATTCACGAGAGGACGCCCTCTTCCACCGGCGCGCGCGCGCGCGTTCCTCGGGCCTAGGAGCAGCTGTCCAACGTCTCAGGCGACCAGCTGGGTCAGATGGATGGCATGGCCTCGGAGGGGAGGGAGGCTTGGAACGATCGAGGCCGTTGCGGGAAGGGCCGACTTGTACTCGACCCTTCCACGAACACATCACATGGAAGTGGAAGATCCTCCTGCTTGTGTTTCGCAACGTCCAGTCTTTCAGGGTCTTCCTTTCAGGGCCCATTTGTCCGCTTGGGTCGGAGTGTACTTCACCAATTGGATTTTGTTGAGATGGAGCTTCAGGGAGGGTGTTAGGATCTGCCCTGCGGCATAGATCTGTCGGCCAACAAGAGTCAGCAGTTTCGTGACAAACCCCAGAACCTGAACGTGTTCAGTGGTAGTAGTAGAACTACTGTATATGCAGACACGCACACACATGTGTATAAAAAGTCATACACATATTTTGTGTGTATACTAACTGTGTATACACAATGAATATGATATTTATATACTCTCCCATTCATTTTTCTTTGCCAGAAACAGTTTCCTGGGGGATGATAGCCAAATCCCCCTCAACGGTCGTAGAACAGATGTTTAAAAACATGGGGCCTGCTTTTTGAGAACCCCCTTTCTTTGTTACAATTGCCTGCTGCAGTTTCTTGTTTTTCCTGTTGGTCAAAATCAGGAGATGAAAATTTGTCAGGCCCCGGCACGCCAAAGTTTTACCCTTTGGGGTAAGCAATTAACTACAGTATTTGGTTGAAGCTTGTTGTCTTTCCTCGAAAGCCTTTCGAAAGTAAAATGCAACCCATTGGTCGTCTTCCCTGAAACTTGGAGGGCAATTCTCCTTCAATCAAGTTAATGGACACATACTCCTTTCACTAAAATACATGTCACGAAAGGTAGCTTGAGCTACCTGAGTTCTCCTTGCTTTAGCAAAAATGTATTACAATCAGGAGTTGGGATTGTGCATTGAATTTGGTCCTGTAAGAGTTGATTCTGTTCGTCGGGGGGGGGGGGCCCCCCCCCCCCCTGGATCAAATCCCCCCTGCGCCGGTTCACGCCGTCGTGGACTTCTACCAGGGTTACTTGTGATTGCCTGCTACCTTTCGTTCACCCCCTCCTCTCTCAAGTCCAATGCAACCGAAGCACTTGACCAATGTGTTGGACAGGTTGCGAGAAATCCAAGGAATTCTGGTGGAATTTCCTTTGAGGGGGTGTGCTTTCGGTTAGCTACCTGGCGAGCTCAGGAGATCTTCTGGTGTTCGCTCGTGGAATCCGCCGCGGCTGCGGAGGCGCATCGGGACCGAGCGATGGTCGCTTGACGGCGGTGGACGCCAGCTGTTGGAGGCTTGCCCTTGGGTGTGGCATATGAGTCATATGAATATGAGTTTTTGCTTAGGGGAGAACCTGCAGTTCAAATGTGCATCATACTGAGCTTCACGTGTCAGTGGGAACTGGGAATGGATGATTGCTCTCCACCTGCAGGTTGTTCTGAACCTGCTTCTGCCTTGCCTGGTTTGCTCGCGCAAAGCTGGGGTATGGCAGCCGCCCTCTGAATGGCTGCTGATTCTGCACCTGAGCTGCTGAGTGGTTGGGGATGGATTTGCTTGTGCTACATCACATGATGCCGAGCAGAGGGGCTCGCGGATTTCCTGCTCTCTGAAGCGGAGAAGGTATGATCAAGACAGGCGCAGTGTTGCGATTGGGGATTCAACCAGACATCGATTGAATACCAGAAACTGTTGACCAAACTGATGTTTCATGTTTCACTGCCGGGGGAATATGTCAGAATCCAAACGGAGAAACTTGTCCTGCAAGAATGCGTCGCCGCTGGCCTTACCCACCCATCGCTCCCTTCGCACTTTGGGTGACCGGCCTCACTCGTCGCCGCCTTCGCTCGTTTGGGCCCGGATCCGATCCTTTCAGTGTGGAGGATGGAGAAGGAGGCGGCCCAACAGCCTTCAGGCGCCGAATGGAAGACCAACAGGAGGTTCCTCCCAGGTGACCGGTGTTTTTTGGGGGAAGTGGGCGCCCTGGACTCTGAAACAGACAGTTGGCGGCTCACCTTCCCGAAACCTTTTGGGTGTGCGGCCGGTTGCTGCACAAGCGGGCGGGTGCGCGCCGAGGCTCACCTTGGCGCTGAATCTCTGCGGCACTTTTCTGGAAGGTTTCTTCAAAGCGACGCGCTTGCTCTCCCAGAGCATCCGCTGGAGTCAGAAGGAAACGTTGTGGGGGTCCGGACGACTTCTTGGTTGGGCGGCGCGGGTTGGACCAGACTTTGGGCGATGCTGGGTGAAGGGCCGGCGCAAAGATTTTGGGTGGATGCGGGCCTGCATGGACTAGTGATTCTTGGTGTTGAGGGTAGAGGCCTAGACTACGGTATGAGCCAATACCTTTGCACGGTAGCTATGAACATCCCCTTGATGGACCGTGGAGGACTTCGAGGACTTCGTCAGTTTGAAGGAAGAACAGTGGTGAAACCAGTGGCCCGACCGTATGGCCTTGACCGCCGGGCTGTCGGTGAGACGGTGGTCTGGGGCCCGGGTGGCTGGAGTCCCGTCCGTTTCTTTCACGTTCATCGGTTGGTTGGTTCGTTCGCGGCTCAATCAATGTGGGTCAAACCCTGGTGAAATGTTCGTATTCCCCGGTTTGGTTCCGGTTCTGTTCATTCCGGATGCGAACTGTTGCAATTTTTCGCGGGTTGCTATGACCAATAGGGTGTAACACGGTGTCTCAAAAAAAGGCATGCCTACTCATAATTCCCTTCCCCCAACCAATAACCCCCAACAGACCTGTTACTGTGCCAAGATGTGCCAAGGATGATTCTGTTCACTACGAGGATGTTTCAACTAAGGGACATCCACAACAACCACCCCCAGCAGTTCCAGCGAAAGAGGTGGATAGATGTGATCTTTGGACACCTTTGGCACAATTCAATTTAATAGTTACTATATGGACTGCGCTCTAAAAAGCCCTACTCAAACAAAATAGATAAACGTAAACTTTTAAGGTTGGAAACCAACCATATAGTGATGGTAAGGTCTTGAACGACTCGGACCTTCTTTACCTCGGCTCATCCCCATCTTCTCGTCCTGCACGAATGGCGCGTGCCCGCCCTGGCGCGTGCGTCGTCCTCGCGTCCCCGGCCGTCAGGAGCACTTGTTCGTCTTCGTCACGTCGGAGGCCTTCAGCGCTGGTGCCTTGAGCGTGTGCACTTCCTTCCCTGGGGTCTCTGGCAGCGCCGGGGGCGTCCCACTGGGTGTCTGAACGGTGAAGGGGACGGGGGTGTCAACATGGCTGTGGAAGACGAATCTGGAAGCCCTGAAGTTGAACACTGGACTTTGGTAGTTAGAGGTGCCCCTTGGGAAACGTTGCGAAAGGTGAAGCAATTCAGCAGTTTACAGTTTGCAGGTTTGTCAGATGTCTTTTCCAGGAATCTTGGGTGCTGCAATGGAGCAGGTTAGAAGGGGCAGAAATCCGCAGACACAGAGCCTGTTCAGGGAAATGGCTCAATTTTGAGGAAGCCAACATCAGCCAGTCATCAGGTGTCCTCAGTACAGCCAAGGTCTGAACTCTCTGTCCTTTGGAGCGGCCTTCTCCTTATTGAAGCTTGGACGAACCAAGGACAGGTGGACCAAGAGACTGGCTGGTGAAAACATGATATTCTTTGGGAGGAACGTTGGCTCCGATGCGGACGTTGGACGCGTGGAACCACACCTGTTCAGACACATGGAGGAGCGATTCTCGGTGCGTTTTTTCTAATTCTTTGATGGCGCTGGCCATACGACATGCATGTCGGAACATCGATTGCTTCGTGCATTGAGTTTTCTGTGCGCCTGCCACGCGAATGTGAATTTGTCGCTTCTGTGGCGCGATGACGTATTTTTGGTGCAGACGCGCCAAGATTATTCCAAGTTGGGATGTGTGCCGGCAGATTGATTCGTCATTCGTTGCAAGACGAAGCTTGGCTCCGGGCATGACTGACCAACACAGTACAAAACGGCCATTTTAGCAGCCTGGGGAGCCTGTGGAGGTTGGCGTGCCCGGACGTGCCGTTGGCGTGTTGTTGGTTTCCCTCGTGAGTGGACTCTTTTTTGCATAGCGTAGCCGCAGCTATGTGCAGAATATTTCTCCACTTTGCAGGCATCTCAGGCCCTAAACCTTTGTTCCAGGTGCACTTGATTTACCGGCCACTATATAAGTGCAAGCAGCCAATCCAGCCGCATGTAGCCTGCAGCTTGAAGGGCAGGACGGGCTGCACAAAGACACAGCTTCGGTTGCGTGAGCAACCACACAGTGTCCCAGGCCAAACCTCAACCACCACAACCCTCCGGATCGGGCGTCGTGGCTCTGCAGGTCTTCGTAACAAGGTGCCGAGCACCGAGTAGCTTCAGTTAGGACCCGGATGGAGCAAGGTCTCTGACCAGTGGTGCAGGTGTCAAGAGCTGGGCTTCGTGGTGGTAGGCTAAGAAGACGAGGTGAAGGAAGAGGAGAAGCATGAGGCACAGCCAGGCTTTCGGGGTGCTGAGGAATGAAACCGACATACAGCAAGCATGAACCATTTTGAGGGGTTCGATTGATTTCCTCAGCTGGGCAAGAACCTTCAACTGTGGGAATATCGGTTGATTTCAAGACGCAGGGGGCAGGCAACAAGTAATTTTTCAGCTCGGTCGCTGGTCGTTGGGGGAGTCATCAAGTCTGGTGCCACGTCTTTGGTCCAGCGACCGTCCCACCTGGACATACTAAGGAAGCCCAACTTTTGAGACCATCCAATTCTTTCCAACACCTGCTCCAGTGGTTTCTCCTTTTAGTGGTTTTGGGCGAAAGAAGCGCTAGGGGTTCGACTCACGACCAGTTGGGTCACTGAGGAATATGGTCTTCGGGCTCTTGGTCTATTTGTGGGGCAGCCGCACTGGGCGGCTTTGCTTCCGCCAGCGGTGGGCGCTCATCGTGCGCTTCGCTGAGATTTGGAAGAAAGTGGCGCGTGCCACGGTGATTATGGCCATTTTCTTGTGCCTTGGTCTAGCCGCACTGGGATCATGTTGGGCTGAAGACAATGCAAAACCTGTTGGCTCCAGATGCCAATCCTATGGACCGATTCCAGTGATCCAGTGGTGAGTCACTCCACAGCCTTGTTCTTCATTTTGCCCTCTGAAAGGTGTTTCTCGCCAACGGCTTCCTGATTCTTCACTGCCCCACCCAGCTTCCAGGTTCTTCACTGCCCTACCCGGGTCAGCACGGCACCCTACACTGCTTATACTACGTGGATTTTGGGACACGCTCTGGACTGGCAAGCTTTTTCCATCTTTTTCCCCACTGGGACCCCTGCCGGGCAAGGCCAGTGCTGGGCATCAGCACCACGTTGCCCCTGGACATGGCCGAGCCTGAGCTGAGGCCGACGAAGCTGCGGCTGCAGCACCTGGGCAGAGGGAGCAAAGGTGAAGTTTCCTGAAGGAAAAACCTGGTGAAGGTCAGAAGTGGATGGATCATGATTGATGGGTTGAAATGCAACAGTATTTATTGTTTTCGAGTGCTTGCGTTGTAGATGGGGTGTGCTTACAGTTCACTTCGACCAATGAATTCTTCGAGGTAGTGCGGGGTTCTTCCATGAGCAATGTCAACTGACGGTTCTTCATTTCAGCACCCTGCCATACAAGATTTCCCACCCCAGGCCACCTCCGAACCGAACCGCTGCTTTTCTGATGTTTTTCTCTCACGCCCACGGATCAGGTACAGCTGGATTGCCCTGGAATGTCCAGCAGTCACCCTCGGGCTGAAGCTCGGCTTTGGATCCGAAGGGCAGTTGAACCTCGCTCGGCGACCGGACGGACCGGTGGAGGCGCCCAGACTCAGAGTTCGGCCCAACGCACCGACATGGGTGTGGATCAACACCTGGAGCAGGTTGACCTCCTAACATTCTGTGAATTTTCGGTGGTCAAACCGGGTAGCCTGGTTCTGACCCAGAGCCACATGATGTGGATGAATATGAGAGGTCTATTATTTGGTGTGGGGGTGGGCAGATGACGGTCACACCACATGAGGCTTTCAGATGGTTTTAGTTATACCTGGAACTTCCTCAGAGTGCTTTTTTTTTTTCTCGATCTGCGGCGCGAAAACATCTTTTGAAGCCACAGCCTTATATTTGAGTCTGCGGATGTTTTTCTAGTTTTCTGATTTTTTCTGATATTCCACGGGCGTTTATACACAAGCTAAGGGCGTTTATTGGTGAGCCAAAGGCGTTTTTACCCGAACATGTTTTTAAGCGTATGTTTATTTCGGTTGCGGATGTTTATGTGGTTCACAGACCTAAATAAAGGTATGTTGAACCACCGACCAAAAAAGAAGCAACCACGAGGTTGCAGGTATAAACGTCATCAAAACCCAAAGAGATTGTGGGATAGAGACGTTTTGCTGGTGGGTTCCCTATTTGTTTTGTGCCAATTTTGAGCACCATGTGTTCTTGGACATAGCAACTGCGCCGTTCTTCCCGGTTTCAGGCGCCGATGCCACCAAGGCTCTGCGGCATTGTGATGAGTGTCTGTGGCGCCGCGCTGGCGACCTACTTCTGCGGGAAGTCGCTTCGGCACCGAAGGGAGCCAGATCGACCCCCGAAGAGGCCAAACGCGCCCCAAACCCGGTGAGTTGGGAGCGGAGTTCCCCGTTCGAATACACAGCCAATCTGAGTTGGGGATTGGTTTGGTCAAATTTTTGGGGTCGTGCCCTTAGGTGTCCCACATTCGTAGCTGTCACCCTTCAGGGGTGTCAAGACCACCAGATCGCTTCGTCTCCTGCATCACGAGCCGCCTCACCATTTGCCCAGCACGGCGCATGCGCTTGGCGCGCGCAGGTTCGACTGCCACGAGCGCCCGGCGGCGCGGCTGGTGGTGAATGTGGCCGCCTCCGCCATGGCCTACATCGCGAGGGTGGCGCGAAGCCGAATGCTGGTGACGGTGGGTCTGGTGGGAGCAATGTTTGGTGATGGTGGTCCTGGGACCAAGGAGTCCTACACCAGGAGCATACACCATGTCCATCCATGTCCCTGTAAAGAGGTTTCACCAGCCACCCGAACTTGATCAAGGAAAGAAACACCTGTTGGCAATGGCTTAAACAATGTTACACCTGGGATCACCTGGGTTTGGCCCAAGTTGAGCTCCTAAACCCTTGATGCTCCATGCAATTTAGGGTGTGATGATGCCTCCCAACCCCCAAGCCTTCTGGCCGAAACCCGATGTTTTTAAATTAAAAAGGCTTGGTCTCCAGTCATCAGGAATCAACCGCGTCTTTGTGTCTCATAAAGCAGTTGCTGCGAGAAGAGGCCACTTCACCAACCAACGGTTCGGGATTTGTTGGGGTCACCAGACGAGACCATGAGACCTGAGGGCATCGACGCAGCGGTGGATTCGGTCGAAGGGCGCAACCCGATCAGCGCCACGAGCGACTTTCTGCGGTCCAAATTCGTCAGTAGCCCCTGGGCGACGGAAGGTTGGCTGCGTCGGGAAGGGACGGACATCCGATACAGCACCTTGCCTCATTGCATCTCAATTGCTATTCTCCTCGAGTGTGGATCAGTGGAAACGATTTTGGGGTCTCCCAAATCCTTCGCCTTGCCACTCCCGAACCCGAGGCTTCTGCGGTGCGCTGTCCGCCTTCTCCGGGACGTTGGGCGACATCGCCGACGTGCAGTTCGGGTGCGCCTCCGAGGACAGCACGCTGGATGGCCCCGAGAAGCTGAGGAAGGGCCAGGCTCCGAGCCCACAGAGCTCCCTGTGGCTGGGAGAATGTCGGGTTATGGGTTTGCTTCGGCTGTCTGCCCTGATTTCCAGGTCAGATATGACGTGTATGGGCATGTGGCATGTGGGACTGTGGGATGATACCCTTTGTGGATGTCTGTGGTGCACGTTTCCAACAGCCCCAGACTCTAGGCGAAGCCTCTCGCGCGTCCCGGCGGTCTACAACTTCTTGCTTCACTGGATCCTCACGCTGCTGGTGATGTGGGGCTGCGCGCGCTTCGAAGCCTGGCCCGTTCCCACCGAGCTCCTCACCGCCGCGCCCGTCGCCGACGGATCGGCCGTCGCGCCCGTCGCGCGGCGGCCGTGGATGCGGCTGGCGGTGGGGCGCGGGGGGTCGCTGGAGCCAGACAACGAGGTGTGAAAAAAGAAGCCGGGCGAAGGCCGAAGGAGGGCGAAGGTGAGGACATTGGAGTACAGTTGTTCCATCATTTTTGTGGGGTGAGCACCAGGCGTGTACCTTGTGGACAGTGGGGGCCTCAAGCCATATTGTTTTTGCGGGGATGAGTGCCTGGTAAAGGCAGCGTACTCCTTGAGTTGCACTGCTTCGCTTACTTTGGCCCTCCGCCCGTTGCGCACTCCGCGTCTTTGCCTCAGTAAATGTCATCATGTGACCATGTGTTTTTGCCAAATGATCCATAGGTTGGGAACGAGACCATGATTGCCCCCAAGCCCGACCATGAAGATCGGCCGCGGGTCTGGCAGAGTGGCAGAACCTTTCATTTGACCTCCCAAAACTGAATTGGATGAAGAAATGTTAGGCCTTTCATCGGAGGTATGCACCTCAAAACCTCCCATGATTTACCACCCCACAAAAACTCCACTTCTCCCTCTGAGACGTGTTTTTTTGTGATAGACCGAGCAGCGGCACAAGCTCATTTTGTGGGTGCCATGGCTCTGGATGAACCCTGGAGACTGGAGACACCTGCTGCTGGAGAACCGCGCAGCAGGTGAGCAGTGAGGATGGCTGGAAGAACCTGCACCGCAGATTTGCAGAGATGGCTGGAAGAACTCGTCGTACGGTACGTACGTTTTAACTTTTTGTGCCGAGATTAAACGAGGATGTTGACCATATTTGTTGAAGCATCACCGTTGACTCTTTGTACGTTTTGTCGGGACCACCCTCAGCTCCAGCCGCTCCAGCACGGTCCCGAAACCGTGGTGGTGTCCGGTGCGCGCCAGGTGCTGATCTCTGAGCGCGTGGCAGGTGGACATGGAAGGTGAGGGATGCGGCGGGGGTCCAGAGGGGACGGAAGAGGACGTCCTGAGATGTTGAGGCTGCGGAGGCTGTTGGGAGTGGAGACGGAAAGTACTCCCACCATGTGGAGAAGCCCCTCCGCGAACGTGGCAGGGGGGAAGGGGTTTCTGCTTGCCAGCTGTGCCCTTGAAGCATGTTGTGTGGTGCCACAGCCAAAAGAAACCGGAATCAAGGAACTGACTTACACCTGGCAGAAGTTTCGGAAGCCTGTCCTTATCAGCACGCCTGGCCAGGGCTGTTCTATGCAGTTCTGACGGATATTTGGTTCCGTTTTTCGTGTGGGTGGGCGAGCCACGGTCTGGCAGGTGAAGAGAAGGAGGAGGCACGCCCAGGTGCGAGAACAGCTTCTCGAATCTGAAGATCTTGATCAGTTGCTGTTCCAGCCACCTTAGTTTTTGGGTTCCAGGTCGGGTCGCAGGAGAAAAACAACAGTTACAGTACGCCTTCATACGCCTTCGAGCCCAGTTGCAACAACTATTTTGAACATCAACGTCCCTTAAGTTGGATCACTTCTGGCTTTGGGGGGCATCACTCCGAACTGCGACCCCGCGGCTTCCTTTTCAGTCGACTGCGACACTCGACTGCGACAGGGTGAACATGTCCCTACCAATGAAGAGGACCCGCCTGGTTCTGTTTCGGGGCCAGGTGGCCGTTTGGGGATCCGCTGGTTCGGGTTTTGGTTTCTGGCAGCCCGGAGGATGTGTATGGTTGAGGCTCCAGCAGATGGATGAGATCCACCCCATTTCGAGAAAGAATCACCCTTTACCGTGCGGACTCCCGACCTTGAAAGAAAAGGTCCGTCAATTCTCCTAGCAACCGCTACTGCCGCTACCCCGGCCCTTAATACCACGTGGCAATTTGTAGCTCGTCAACCAAGCTTGTTCACGCTTTTCGGAACGGGCTCACTGACCGCCTCCTGGGTCAAAACCCCTCACATGTCAGGCGGAACTCGGGGCCAGAATTCTGCTGAAGCTTGGCACACGAAGCAGAAGCATGCGCACGCGACGCAGGGCCGTCATGGGAGTTTCAAGTTGAAGATGTTGAAGCAGCACGAGGAGTTTGAGAACAACAACTTTGAAACCTATACTATACTTATATATATATATATATAACTTATACGGATTCTTCATCAAGCTGTTGCAAATCTGGGGCCTGGAGATGCCTGAAGCTTTTGGGTGCAAAGTAAGAAGGACGTGGTGCTTGTCCCCGGAGAGGTCTCCCCATTCGTCCGCCACCACGTGGCGTTGGGCGAAATCGCGTCGCGCTGAGGAGTGGCTCCACACAGGCCGGGGACCGTCGGAACCGTCGGAAGCTTCCACCCCGGGACGCGTCGCGGGACGCGGCGTGGAGGCTGAGCAAACCGACCTTTCGATCGATCGAAGGATCGATCGACCCGGCGGAGTGGAGGCGACCTGGTGCTGCTGAAATGCCACCTGCGGGACGATGGGGGCCACGAGGGCACCACGTCTCCAGAGACAGGCGTGGCCGCCCTGGCTGCTGTGGCCCCGATGTTGGTTCGTTCGCGCTTGCCGGCCGTGATGGAGCGGGGTGAACCGCGCGTGGTGGGTGACATGGAGCTGCGCGGTTTGGAAGAAGAAGTTGTTGAAATGGTCGGGTGGATGGAATGGCTTGCGCCAGCATGACTCTTGCCACTTCTCGAAACTAAGCCGGGCCGAACTACATCCAAAGATTGAGGGATGACTTTTACTGACATATTTCACCCACGTGGAAGCCACAAGTAACCCGTGTTGACTCATGCTCAATTTGCGGTTTCTATATAGATCTCAAGTCTCAAGCTTGTGTTGCTTCCCCATCAGTTCTCAGGCTTGTATGACCGTCGTGCCGCTGATCGTTCGCACTTAAGTGGCCAAATTAGCCAACAGCAATGTAGGTTGAACGGCTTCGTCTGCACTCCTTGCAGCCTTCGCGTTTGAACTTCATGATGCCACTGAATGTGTGAAAGATATTGAAAGCATTTGAAAGCATTATTTTTTTCAAGAGCAAACTTCTCACTGCAAAGCTAGACCTGCTTAGCAGGTCCAAACCTGCTAGCTGGTCGATCGGTTCCTCCCGGTGACCTCGTGGATTCGGAAAAGGGCTAAGCCCTTTTGTGCGGCGAGATCCCTCCCACCTGAGGGGTTTTCCGGTGCGAATGTGGAATATTTGGAGAGGTCAAACTTGAAGCTGGGTGCGCTTTCTTGAATTTTTTTGATCTGTTTTTTGGGGTGGCGCCACCCAAACCTTGACTGTTTCCTTTTGAGATGATGTTGAACTTGTGGAGGCTACTTGCGTGGCATAGGCATGAACGCCACACTCGAGGCTGGAAGCGTCCGAGGGTTTCCCACATGGTGGTTGCAGATAGCGTAAAGAGCAGAGCAGGCCATTTTGGAAGCCCTGCAACCTTGGTGTACCTCAAAGTGGGGATGGCTCGTCGCTCCGATCTTTTGCGGGGTCTTCATCTTCTTTCCTCTTTCTTTGTTTCTACTAGCGATGGCCTCCAACCTACTAGCGATGGCCTCCAACCTACTAGCGATGGCCTCCAACCTATGTAATTAGCCCCCCCCATTGCGTGAAAGAAAGCACCAGGTTCGATGTTCCGGTGCCGTAGGCGACGGAGGCGACGTCCTTCCTTGGACCCTTTAAGCTCAACCCTAAGCTGTGTCAGAACTTCGTTGGGCCATGTCACCATGTCCCATCTTCTCCGCCAAAATCCCCACTTCAAAATCCGCCTCACCCGACCGAGCAACTTGGAAGAACTTGGTAGGTGGAACCAATTGATGACATTGAAACTTGGACACAGAAGAGAGGCTTCGTGTTTCACAGTTCGGCCCGGCCTGGCGATCTATTCAATTCTCGGTGCTTTTGAAAGCCTAGAAACTCCACAAAGAAGGGTTTCAACTGGGTGTCCATGTCCTATGTTTGTGGGCAGGGAATCGCAAGAAGGTTGCATGGCAAGATTGCAGAGCAGATCTCTCGGATATTTTTTCAGTATTTGACGTTTTGTGGCGTAGCTGTGCCCTGAAGAACCCACTTTCGGTTTGCATTGCCATCATTTGCCTATGGATTCTCGTACTGTTGCGTGTCATCACCCCCTTTGGGCCACGGTTCATCTGGGGGCCGAGCTGATCGACAGACATTCTAAAGTCGTGGGGATCCCGGAAGCCCCCAACAAACGGCGTGCAATGTCATGGATGCAAATCACATTTCAACTGCTTAGACTAGCACTCTTTCTTGTTGAGGGTGCAGGGGGTGGGGTTTCAGGAAGCAGACGTTCAGTTGGGCGGAAAGGGGTCCATCACCGAAAATCCCAGTGGCGATCAATCAATGGCTCGCTGTCCATCTAGGTCTAAAGAGTTTGTTGAAGGAGAGTTCGGCGCCGGGAACCCGCATCGTGAGACACCACGCATGGGGAAATACCACGTGTGACTGCCTGTTTTGGGGTTGGCCGACTGGTGGGTGCTGGCAGTGAGTAAGAGAGACCTACACCTACTTCCACGCTGTCTTTGGGCCGCACTTCTCTGGTTTCGTACCACCTGACCGGACCGGAGCTGCTTCCACCGCTGAGCTGAGCCGCTTCCGGTCCCTTCGCCCCAGGAAAGTGGGACGATGGACGTGAGAGATTTCATCTTCGTGGTGGTGGAGCAGCTCAGTTACTCGGGCTTGGCACTCCATGCTCCTCACAGTGAGTAGTGTTAGAATCCCTTTGTTTTTCACCTGGCAGGTTTTTCACCGGGTTTTTTTTCACCTGGCAGTGGTGGTGAGACTTCATCTTCACTTCGGAGCCGACCTGCGTTTTCTTGGGCGTTTTCACCATCCATGCGGGGATCCATGCGGGGATACGCTGGATGTCGGGTGCCCACGCCTCCGTCTTTGGCCCATTTCCGCTCCAAGAATTGTCCAACATGTTTTGAGATCCTGCTGACTCCATTGGCACGGTCACTTCCCCCCCCCCAGGTGCTGGGAAAACCTGAGAGTGTCGGTCAGGAACCGCGACAGATTAGGCCCAGATATTCCCAGACTGCCATGTTGCCAGCCTTGCGAATTATGGCAAGACCGACCTGGAGTCCCAAACCACTACAGATCCCATTGCAACACATAAGCACGAATTGGAAAGATGGTCCTGAGATCGGGACAAAAGGTTTTTGTCTACTTTGGTATCACTCTGGCTGTTGTCTGAATCAACAACGGTTTCAACTGCCAGGCTACAACGCCCAGAAAGATTTGCAGAAGCAGAAGAAGCGCCTCAATCAGTTGGGCATCGATCCCAGCTCTGCGCGTCGGGGGCTCCCAGCGTCGAAAGTGAAGTCGAACGCAGAGCTGTGGAGGAGTCGCAGAGCTCGGGTTCTGAACTTGGAGGATCGGGGTGCCCCTGTCACACCCATTCACTGGGATGGGACGACCCACACCCCGAGCTCTGTGACTCCTCGGGGCTGCCTTCTCTCACAGACCTTTTCCATCTCTCCGCCTCGCCGCTGTCGAAGAAGCGCCCCGTGAACAACCGCGTGCCCTTCGAGCGTTATATACGCGCGGAACGCGCTATGCGCGCCGTGCGATTCGGCTTCGGCTCACCGACTGGGCTGAGACTACGCAGCGCAGCTACGGAGCTTGGACGCGAGGGCCAAGATGGAGGTCGTTGGGGCAGCAGGGGGGGTTTCAGTGGAGGTGCAAGCAGCGCATTCCAAGCGCCGCGGATTTCTTGCCGAGCTACCTTTGTTTTAGTAAGGATTCTTGACTGCAACCCTTCCTTGCTGGGGTTTGGGTGGGTATGGGCCAAAGATACAGTGGTTTGAGAGTAGTCGGTGTACACTGAATGGACAGTCGGTACGGAGCCGCATTAAACAATATATGTTTTTGTTTGTTAGATTTTGTTCGACGTGTGCCATCTACCCACGTGGCCTGGTGCCCATAGCCCATAGCCGGAGCCGGAGCTGCCACCAGGCGCAAGCCAACCTCAAGAAGCAGCACGGCAAAGCAAGGAGCGGGGGCGCGCCCGCCGCTCGTAGGAGGTTCCCATGGACCACAGTGTGGTCACCGGAAACATCCTTTGAACCAGCAAGACTCGTTTTATGATTCGGTTTTATGATCATAAAAGATCAGAGTGCATTTAGGCAGACTGTCCACAACTCCTATGCCATCCTTTTGTGTAGCTACTGATGACTTTGACGTAGTGCAGCACATCTCGTCTGTCACGAGCCCAGCCTATTTCGGCACACTTCTTCTCCAGTTTGCCTCCTGCAGTCTGTTTTTTTCAAGGCCCATTTGCTTTGGCGAGCCCATCCAGCTTCAACATCTCCGGCCCTTTGGCGGCGCAGCCGGGTTGGAGCCGCCGGGAGGGTGCACGGCTCCAGCGCCGTTGTCCTCGCACTAAGGACCCAGCGCTTCGTGCGGGTCCGCGCCAAGGCGCCGGCGGTGCTGCAGGCGGCAGCGCGGCTCGTGGAGCTGCAGGCCGAGGGGCAGCGCAGGGGCGCGGGTGGTCAGGACGCCCAGCTGAGCGGTTGATGATCGCAGAGGTGAAGACCAAAGCAAATTTCCATAGAGAGATCAGGAAAACTGGAGGTGCAGTTTAAGTCGTGCTTTTCCAAAAGACGACGAAACCCCACCCTTACCTGCTCCTGAATTTCTGACAAGGACCCTGAAGCAGGGATTTTCAGACTTTGTCCTCTGGCAAGCCGTTGGGATTTATGATTCATGATCACTTGCTGTTTGCATACCATCGAAGTGCGGTGTGTGACTCCATGTGGCTCGCAGGTCCTTTAGGTGGTTTTCGCCGGCCGGTCACGCGTGCGCACGCGTGCCATGGGTAAAAAGCGGCAGCTGGATGATGGAGGTCCGCAGCCGGAGCTGGAGTTTTTTTTGGCCGTGCCCAAAAGCAAAGACTTCATTCACTGCAGATGTCAACCATTCCCATGATTTGACACCTTTCCTTTCTGATTCGTTCTGCTTTCCCATCTTCTTCTGTGCGTCGAAGCGAACCGAACCGAGGGGCCCGAGGGGAGAAGGACGTGCGCCCTCCAGTCAATTGGAACATGGTTTTTCAATGTTTTTCACCGATCCCAGGGAGCTTTTCACCGATCCCAGGGAGCTGTAGACCTCATTGGAACCTCCCTGGCGGCAGATGGAAGCGTCCTTGTCCCAACAATCAAGGTCTATCGTGAACGGCAGCGAAGAACTGGTTTCCCCCCACGTATCAGGCCCTAAGCCTTGACGCCAGCAGCATCATCAAACCTGCCACACTCACCCTAGCTCCACCGGTGCGATGCCTCTACCTCCACCTCCACTGATGCCCTTGTCCAGGTGGTGAATACATCGCTCCAAAGGGCTTGGGCTCCAGCGGCCCCCAGGGCGGTTTCGGCCGCTCCCGCGGTGGTGGCGGCGGCGGCGGTGGTGGTGGTGGCCTTGCACCTCGGAGGGGCTGGGGTGGCTGGGGGGGTGGTGGAGCTGGTTGGGTGACACTCTGAAACCACCAATGGATGGTGACGCGGATGGGAATGGCCCGGATTTTCGGAGGACTATTCAATTCTGAATACTAAACGGGTGGTTCTTTGGACATGGAACCAAAGAGAGAACCTTGCTCGGTTGGAAGGGATCTTCCCCAATGTGACACGTGACACGGATCCTGGAACTAGTCACTAGTCATCCAGCTCCAAGGCTGGTGGGCGCGAACAGCCATGGTGTTCGTAGGGCGACGCCCCAAAAAGACAGACATGGTGTTCGATTGGGGGGGGTGCTTGGTGAAGGACCAAGGGACCAAGGGACCAAGGGCTGGTGAAGTCCTTCTGAAGATTCCTCCTACTGATGGCGTCCAACCCAATTTTGGTGTCGACTCAGTGACCTATCGGCGAGGTACGGGTACCCAGTGGGTATCCAAGTGCCAGCTTCAGGTGGTTGAGAGCTTCGCAACCAGGTTTGAACCAGGGGCAACCAATCTTGTTTGGATTCTTTGGTTTCTATGCGGCTATGTGCACGGGGTGCCAGTGAAGTGCTGCGTGCAACTCCCTTGGTCATCTTGGTCTAGGTCCAACATCCGACCCGAGTGTCCCTTGAGCCAACGACATGTAGAACCCCACTCACCCTCCAAACCTGCTACCGAACCCCCACAGAAAGCAGAATTGAATATCAGTGGTCAGCCTAAGAACAGTGTGTGAAACTCCGACCGACTATTCTTTGTGGTCATGAGACCCACAGAAGACTTGACAACAAGTTCAGTTCAGAGTTGCTCGGGCCTCACATCCCAAGGGAGATAGGAAACACACAGATCCATAGCTGAAGAATTGATGCCTTCATGCCAGTGATTCGGACCACTGTAGCAGGCTTCCTAAGACGCTCTTCATCCTGGGAATGTTGGATGGAAGCTTTACCGTTTTCACGGAGTCCTAATTGCTGGAAATCTGGGTTCACCCCAAGTATCTGGGAGGATCTGGGAGGATCCAGAGGCCTTTGTGGGGATGTCATGTCATCCTCCGTGTGAGACGCCTAGAAGCCCTGCTTTGCGTGCCGAGAAGCCACGCTGAGGACATTGACGAGGTGCCACGCCCGAAAAAGCCGCTCGGCCTCCTTGGAGGGCGAAAGGAAAGGGTTTGGTGTCCGAGTGGGGTAGGGGATTGCCCAAGCCAAGCAATCGTCCAAACACCTGCATGAGTGTTCTCGGTGTTCCAGCGCTGGTCTCTATCTGTTGGGTGCCGAGCACAAGGGACCAAGCTTGCTTCTTGAAGTGCTTCGGTCCCAGCTGTCGCTTCGGCGACAGGCTCCGCGCTGAGGACCAAGCCGCAGAACTTGCAGAAGTTGTCCTTCGAAGAGTTAAATCAGCGAAAGCACGATCTCAAAATGGAGGAGAACTACCATAGCAATGTCATGGGCACCTGATCCGCAAGACGAACCGGCCGTTGGCGAACGGGTGAGGCATCGCCACACGGCGATGGAAGGTGGGCTTTTGACCCGCCAGGGTGGTGTGGGAGAGACGAGTCTATAGGAAGAGGTGTCGCAAGAGCGCACCAGCAGGAGCCCCAGAACCCGAAAGTTTTCTTGGGTGGGTTCCCCTTGAAGCACTCACTTTTCCAGAGAGAGAGAGAGGAGGGAGAGAGAGAGAGGCGTGCCTGCTTGACCAAAGGAAAGACACAGGGTCATAACACTGTCGGGCCCATCCCAGACCGATTCGGCCATTCGAGGCATCAAAAAGCGCGGGCCATACAGTGCCAGCGATGTGCGTGCCAGCTACACGCAGGCATGTTTGTCTGTAGTGCACAGGGCTGCCGTTGGACCATGTCGACCCTTTCCAATACACAGTCAGCCCACTCGGTGCATTTGGGTTTTTAGTTTTGGCTGTGTAGTGTGCACGCTCCAGAATCTAGAATGCAGCGGGGCTTGGAGCCCTTAGAGCAGTGGAAATCCAACCACCAACCCACCTACCCACCCACCAACCCACCCACCCACCCGCCAACCAACCAACCAACCAACCACCCACCCACCCAACCAACCAACCAACCAACCAACCAACCCCAACCAACCAACCAAAACCAACCAACCAAAACCAACCAACCAAAACCAACCAACCAAAACCAACCAACCAAAACCAACCAACCAAAACCAACCAACCAAAACCAACGAACCAAAACCAACGAACCAAAACCAACGAACCAAAACCAACGAACCAAAACCAACGAACCAAAACCAAC